ATATATATCACTGTGCAATAGCTATGTGATTTGATTATCTGTAAAAGTTAAACATCTCCTCTCCTCTCAACCTTTCATATACCAGCGGTGCATTCCTTCCCTGCTGTTGCTAAGGTTTGTCTGTCCAGCCTTGGGACAGTAAAAGTGTTAACAGTTGCACCATGACAGCCTGAATAGTCTTCAGTACTTCATCCACCACCAGTGTGCTTACCCTTGAGTGCATCGCCAATGGACCTGCTTCCTAGGACCTTTCCTACTAGCAGTGCATTCCTGGGAAAAAAACTTTGAGGTGGAGATTTGCATGCAGTAGATTTACTGTGGAACATTGATGAGGGAACGGATCCCTGCTGGCTCAGTGGCTAAAAACCCTTAGCTTCTAACCACAAACTCAGTACTTCGAACCCGCCAGCCTCTCCGCAGGAGAACAGATCTATCCGGTCATCTGCTCCTGTGAAGACTACAGCCTAGAAAGCCTCAGTAGGTCATGGAGTCTGAGTCAACGCGATTGCACCACCATGAGTGAGGAAAGAAGCAGAAGTTGGTCACAGAAGTTGAACTGTGATGTGGTCTCAGCTTGCATTTGGGGGAACTCTGGAGTTGGAGATCCCTTCAGAGTTGTCCCAAAGTGGCCACTGGGACCCAGGCTCTGGGACCTCCACATGAACCTTTCATTAGATGGCACAGTTTCCTGGGAAGAAGTTCCCAGCACTTCCTCAGCAGCTAGTGATTCCAGTAGTTGGGGAGTGATGCTTACTGTTGAGGGGGAAGGCAACAGTGAACAGTGGGCTACATATTCAACATCCAGTTTATCAAAGCATATACATGGCTTGATTATATTATTCCATATGTAATTGGATGTTTTCACTATTTCCCTTTCTTGGTTACCTCCTACATTAAAAATGTTTTTGAAAATGAAAAAAAAAAGTAGTGTGGTAAGATTTATGTCAGAACATTTGCTATTTTAAAGTGTGTAACGTTAACATTAATTATGTTTACCAATTTGTGCAATCACCACAACTGTTTATTTTCAAATGAGTTTTATCTTCCTAAACAGAAACTCAGTACCTCTTAAGTGATAACTCTCTGTTCCTGCTCCCCCTAACTCTACTCAAACCAACCCACAGCTATCAAGTCAATTTCAACTCATAGTGACTCTGTGGGACAGAGAACTGCTCTGTAGGGTTTCTGAGACTGTAAATCTTTATGGAAACAGATAGTGTCATCTGGCTGGTGGATTTGAACTACTGACCTTGCAGTCAGCAGTCCAACATGTAAACCATTGACCCCATGATTCCTTTCCCTACCCACCCTACCGTAGCCCTGGTTAACCAGTTATTAACATTTTCTCTAGAGGCAGACTTCTTTTAGTTAACAACTCTTATCTTTAGCATCTAAGACAATGCCTACAATATGAATAAATATCGGTATAATGAATTGATTGAGCATGTACTCGTATTTGTTAAGTGGATATAAAAGATAGTATAGTCTTTAGAAGCAAGTTTTATAGGCTGCATAAGAATAAATCTGAGGAACTGCTAACAGTTGTGGACTATATTATGGAATTTGACTCATACCAAGGACAAGGTAGGACTCGCTTGTAGGATTTCCAAGGCTGTAACCTTAACAGAAGCAGATAGCCTCATCGTTTTCCCTTGGAGCAGATGGTAGGCTTGAACCACTGACCTTTTGGTTAGCAGCTCAGTATTTAATCACTGTGCCACCAGTTAATTATTAACTTGTATCTACTTAATACTTCCCATAAAGGTAACTTTATGTAGTATAATGAAGCAATCTACCAGGGGATATCCAAAAAAAAAAAGGAATTCCGGCCTCTCAAAAAGCTATGTATTTGCATTTTTTTTTTTACAAAACAACCTTCTCACTCTCCATTACACTTAAAATATTTGTCAAATATATGATTCCATTCTTGGAAACATTTTTCAAAGTCATCTGTTTGGATGGCTGACAGCACATCCCTCGTTTTTTTCTTCACCTCTTCTATGTTGTCAAATTGTTGTTCTTTCATGTCCCTCTGTATTTGTGGAAACAAAAAGAAGTCTCACAGAGTGAGGTCAGGTGAGTAAGGTGCTTAGGGCAAGAAAGGCATGCTGTTTTTCCCCCCAAAAGTGGCACACTGAGAGATGACTGCATGAGCAGGTCCATTGTCGTGGTGGGAAAACCAGTCCCCTGTCTGCCACAAAGAAGGTCTTTTTTGTTGCATGCTGTTCTGCAATCTTTTCAGAACCTCCAAATAGAAATCTTGATCACAGTCTGACTTGGTGGAACAAACTTGAAATGTACTACGAAACAACATTTCACCCATTTTGGAAGTTGATGGACATCCAGAATGAGGTTTATCATCAATCGATATTTCATCTTTTTTGAAATGAGAAAACCACTTGTTTCACTTGAGTTTTTCCCATAGTCTTTTAAGCTGTGCTCAACAACACAAAATTTTCTGTGGAATTTTTCCCGAGCAGGAAACAAAATTTCACAGCTGTATGCTCTTCTCTTAAATCTGCCATCATAAAAACAAGGTTTGAGTGAAACTGCTTTTATGAGAGATTCACTGTGACCAGAGAAAACCTTCTCAGGTGACGCCACTGGGTGCACTAACTCAGAGTGAGTTGCTAGATGCTCGCCTAGCAGGAAAAAGGCATACTACAAAAGCTCTGCTTCCCCAGCACAATTCTGTTGTTTGGGATTTTTTTTTTTTTTGGTAACCCCTGATATTAAGTAGTTTTGAGGTTTAAAATTCGCTTCCATTGATAGAATTACTGGTTAGAATCCATTATTTTAGCCTTTTGGGAACTCCTGAAACTATGATTTTAAAAGAAAATTACTGATTATTACTTTTAGGTTTGTGCTATTTGTGTACTTACGATGTTTTATGGTCAATTAAAAAGAACACGTGTCTTCTTTGGAGTCAGCAGCCTCTGGATTTTTCACTGTCTCCTCAGTTATTTTCATGGTTACAGTGATTCATTTGCTAATACCTATAAGGTTTAATTTTCTCATCAATTGATGATACCATCAAAGAATAGTATTGTTTTGAGGTGATATGTTTATTAGCTCAATATGACAAACCTGAGATCAAAAGAACTAGATGGTGCCTGGCTACCACTTTTAGTTTTCAAAAAGGGATCACAATAGAAGAAAATTGTGGAGCAAAACTCAAAATAATAAAAGAACAGACTTACTGCTCTGGTAGAGACTGGTGGAACCCCCAAGAGTATGGCTCTTATACACCCTTCATGCTTAAAACCGAACTCACCCCTTTGGCTCCACTTTCAGCCCAATAAAGGTAAATGATAACATGAGGCCTTGTTCTAATATGTGCATTGTTTTATGCACACATTAGAACAATCGGAAATTGAAAGGGTAGTATTTTCCCAGTGATTGAACTCAGAAAGCAAGAAGGGATGTGAACGAAGAACAAAGGGAAATGGTAACCATAGGAAGGACATAGGAAAAGTGCTCCTACACTGTGAGGATTGCAAATAAAACAAAATGTGTATGAGTTGGTGAGTGGAAAAGCAATTTGTTCTGTAAATTTCCACCCAAATCACAAATTAAAAGAATTCATTCTTTTCTTTCTTTCCTTTTTTCCCCCCTCTTCACAAGCATGTAGTGATCTACTTTCCATGTCTTACTAAAACCACCAGGTTCTGGTTTTGCCGAAAGAATGTTGAATTATAGTGTGTTAGTCTGGGTTGAGTAGAGAAACAAATTTATAGACACGTGTGTAAGAGAGAACTGTATATCAAAGAGCAATTGTACATTAAGAAAACATCCCAGCCCAGTCCAGATCAAGTCCATAAGTCTGATATTACCTGCATATGTCGATACTAGTCCATAAATTCCTCTTTAGGCTCACACAGCCTTGCAATGATGCCGAAAGCAGGATGATCACAGGCCAGTGGGTGGAAAGTCTTATGGATCCTTTGGTGGTGGAAGCATCTCAGCACTCGTGTGGGTCTCCAGGTGGCTCCTCTAGCTCCAGGGCTGTGGCTCTGTTAGTGTAGATCCATGTGGCTTGTCAACAGGGAAGTCTCACAGGGAGGGAGGGTTTCTGGCCTCCAGTGAGCTATTTATCTTCTTCACGCTTCCAAATGAGGTCATCAAGCTGCAACCTGATTGACAAGCTAGACTCTACCCCTTCACAAGTTGACAGGACATTATGGAACTACTACATCTACCAATACAAATGAATCTTTTAATATTATGTAGATATTATAGGACTACAATAAACCACGTTAAGACCAACCCACCCATTACAAAAGTCATTTATAGCCTCAACTCTAATTTCTTTATTTAAGCCATAGCCCATTCATTCCCTGTCAGCATTATTCCCATAAGACAAGGTAACCTAGATTCTCTCTTTAACTCCCCTTCGCCTTCACATAAAAATGATACAATGCCAAGTTCTGAATGTTTAAGCGTAAAGAGATGATAGAATGATCTGTTCTTGAAAGTAAAAGACTTTGTTTTGGAAGGGCTGTGGAATTGCCGAATGCTTGAAGATTGTCTGCCAGGTTGGCCGCCTGGACCGGGGAAAGAGTGCGATCCTGTACGTGAAGTCTCTCCTGTGGACCGAGACCTTTATGAATGTGAGTGGTCAGAGGCAGCATTAAAGTTTATCCACTTTTTCCAAAAAGTGAAAACGCCCTGTCATTGAAATCATTTCATTGTTATTTCTGTACAGAAGGAAAACCAGAACCACTCTTATTCACTGAAGTCATCTGCTTCATTTAATGTCATAGAGTTTCCCTATAAAAACCTTCCAATTGAGGACATCTTCAACTCCACATTGGTAAGTCAGCTACTTGGGGAATTGAAATAAATGCATTTCATTCTAACGCCTCAGATACTTCCTTTAAAATACATATACAACAATGCAGCTATATTGATAATTTTTAAAACTCAAGTTGATGGGATTGTAATCTAGTTTCGTGTTATTACTTTCACCATGGGATTATTATAGTTCGGACCTTTACCATTGTTCTTTTTTTCAGTATATGCTAAAATTTTGTGTGAAGAATTCTGCATTTCTAAAATTTCCTTCACAAAGTAATAAAATTGGAAACAGACTAAGTGATAACATTGAAGATCTTCAATTTGAGAGTTAAAAATAAGATCATGACATGCTGAACTAGTTTGTAATATTTGAAAATAATTTCAGAGGCAGTCAGAAATAGACTTGATGAGAGGAATTTTATTTGTGCATGTTTTCATTACAAAATATGTGATCACAATTTGTCTTGTGTGAGAAAAGAAAATCATGTGAAAACATTAAAATGAAAGATCGTAGGCACTCAAATACTTGTTGGATAATTGAGGGAATTTTTTTGGTGGGGAGGGGAGTGATTTTTTTTAACTTAAAAAGTAATTTCCCCTTCAACAGGTTACCACTAATGTTACCTGGGGCATTCAGCCAGCGCCCATGCCTGTCCCTGTGTGGGTGATCATCCTAGCAGTTTTAGCAGGATTGTTGTTACTGGCTGTTCTGGTGTTTGTCATGCACAGGGTAAGTAGTGGGGGTAGGACAAGACGGATGAAAGGGAAGGAAAGAGGGGAAAGAAGGTAGGGCAAGGAAGCCAGCATCCTATAATATTGATGCATCATAAAAACACAAAACCAAACTCACTGCCATCAGTTGATGCCAACTCACAGCGACTCTATAGTCCAGGGTAGAACTGCCCTAGTGAGTTTCCAAGACTGTACCTCTTTATATGAATAGAAACCAGGCCCTTGTCCCACAGAGCAGTTGGTTTGAATGCTTACCTTGTGGTTAGCAGCCCAATGCGTAACCGCGACACCACCAGGGCTCTTTACTGATGCACCGTAGGCACTGCTTATTGCTTGAAGTGAGAGGATGGGCGGTCCCTTAAATGTTCTTGGTTACCACTTGGTCACTCACAAGTGTTTTTAATATGTTTTACTGCTCAGGGAATAAATAATGTGTGCTTTTCTTCACCTTGCAGATGGGCTTTTTTAAACGTGTGCGGCCCCCTCAAGAAGAACAAGAAAGGGAGCAACTTCAGCCTCAAGAAAATAGTGAAGGAAACTCCGAAGCTTAACTGTGATTTTTAATTTCTCCTACATCCTTAACCCATGCGATTTACTGACTTCATTACAGATTTAAATTTCATTCATGAGGAATGAAAATCCAGGACTGTACTGCTGTTGATGATCATTAGTGTTAACCACAAAATAAGAGCAATAGTCGTCAACCTTTTCTTTATTAGTAAGTTCAGACATACATTTAATATGCATCAGCCGACTAGTGTTTTTAGTTATTTAAACGATAGATTTCAAGTGGTAGTTCTTACTCAATGTATAGAAGACATGTAGTGCCCGAGTTACCACTTTACATGAAATAGAACCTCTCATAATTGCGGTTTCTTGTTAGATTTCGGTGTGTATTGTCATTGTTGTTTTAAAGCACTGTTTCCCAAAGTGGGCAGTACCATGCTCTCAGGGGTACTAGAATGACCCAGGGGACCTGAAAAAGCAAATACCAACACTGAATCCTGGATTCTGGGCTATGGGACAAAAATTGTTAATTGCCGGGGGAACACTGAGCAATTTTTTTTTTTCTGAAAAGGGGGCGGTAGGCCAAATAAGTTTGGGAACCTATGTTTTAAAGCAGATGTGGACCTTAGTATCCATATCTTTTGTGCAGGTACTTAATTTTACTATGCATCACACTACAGTTAGCTCTTCAATCTACTAAAGACGATAGCTGCATGAACTTGGGTTTTACTATCACCTACATGATAAAAGATTTTTATTTTAATGCATGATTCCATCAAAATTGCTTTCTTATAATAGCACAGGTACAATATTTTAATATGAAAATTGGGTACATGCTATAATTTTTATTTCTATTTAAACTTCAACCTATTTTATTACATATTAACTTATAAAGGTGTAAGCTCACTATCAAAATGTATTTCTATGATCAAAAACACCCTCCTTGTATAATATCTTAATTTCATCGAAATATTAAGATACTTAGAGCCATATGGGGTTTGAAATCACTTCCAAAATACATCTAATTCCATTGTTTTCTTCTGGCTATTTACAATAGGAGAAAAAGGCATTATAATGCAAGATGATGTTTGTAGTTCTTTGATATAGTTGCTTATTCATAGTTATGTTCATAGATTAGAGTTTTGGTTGGGATTAATTTATTTTCCTTCTTTATATGTATTTTCTGTGTGTTTCCAAAACTGTTCATGAGAACGGGTTAAGATCAATGAGATATTCTTACAATTTACCAAAAGCCTTTCCCCAGCCCTCATCCCCCTATCTCATGAGAAATGTTTGCAATCAAAACTCTTAGGTAGCTCATTGGTTTATTTCTAGCAATAACATAATTCTAATCTCAGCTGTTACCTCTGTCCAAGCAAGGTAAAGCCTCAACTATCAAAATTACTTTTAAAAAGTATTTTTCTGACAAATTTGTTACTGAAAATCTTTCTTACGTTTTTTAACAAGAACTACTTTTTGAAGATCCCCCCCTCACTGCCATAGAGTGGATGCCAACTCATAGTGACCCTGAAACTGCCCCTGTGGGTTTTCAAGACTAAGATTGTTAAAGGAGTAGAAAGCCTCATCTTTCTCCTTAGGAGCAGCTGGTGGGCTCTTTGCGGTTAACAGCTCACCTGGTGATTGTGGTAGCAGCTCAGCCTGTAACCCACTCTGCCACCGGGGCTCCCTTTTCTAGGGTATCTTTATTAAAACTTTTAACCTGGCAAGTTAGTTTCATATGGTAGGGTGCTCAGTATTCTAGAGGAACAGGGTGCTCAATATTCAAGAAGAACGTAATTCTTTCACAGTTTTTCAAGGCCTGGGCATGACTATCAATTATACCTATTTTTGTATCATTACATCATGTTGTTCATTGGAAATTGAGGTTGAATAGCTTTTCAATGGTTGCCCTCATTGGGCAGTGATAAATACTTTCCTTAAATAATCAACTTTTTTTGCCTTAAACATTATTGAAGTTTATTTTGCCGTATCTTGTGATATAATTGCATTCATAAGTGCAGAAATGAATCTTCAGAATTTAATCATAAAATAGAAGCACATTTAGGTGCGTTACACAAATTAAGACATTGACTAGACCTGCTGTTGCTGTTAGATGCCACCTGTGTAACAGAACAGAAACTACCCAATCCTGTGCCAGCCTCACGATTGTTCCTATGTCTGAGCCCATTGTTGCACCTACTGTATCAATCCATCTCTCTCATTGAGGACCTCCCTCTGGTTCTCTTGACTCTCTACCAAGCATGACCTCTTTCTCCAAGGACTCGCCCCTCCTGATGATATATCCAATATTTATATATCTAGATATAGTACATTTCAAATTGATGACTTTTGGATTACAGGTTTTATTAATAGCTTAAGTGATCATATACAAGAGTATTTTTATTACCAATGACTTTGTAATTTTCTACAAAAAAATATTTTTATTCTAGGTGCAAATATATACATCCACTAACTCTGTAACAGCTTTGATTTTCGGTCTTTCCGCCTAGTAGCAGCCATTCCTGAAAAGATGTGCCAGATAGGTACTGTATGACTAAAAGGGCAGTATTTGCTCCCCCACCCCAACCCCATTTGTTCTCTTGCCAGGTACTATGCTGTATTGGGATCTAAGCGATGTTGTTAATTGGAAATTAACACAATGGTTTAAATTACTTTCAGATAATGGGATTTAAAGCGAAATCATCTTTTCTTTTTTCTTTCTACAATATAAAAATATGGTAGAAGTATACTTTGAAAGCCAACTCTTTGAGGAAAATATTGAGAAACTTTTTGTTCCCCTTAAAGTAGCACATCAGAAAAAAAAAGTAGCACATCAGTTTATTTGATTAAACTATCACACACACACAAAATTCCAATGAGAAAGATGTACTTACATTCTAACACTTAAAATATCACCATCTTGGTGATTTATTAAAATTAGAGTCCATTTTGAAGTATAAAAGTCTTATAAACTGAGTTAGTTTTAAAAGTACATATAAATGAAATAGTATAAAACTATAAAGTTTTAGGCAGTTACTTGAAAATTCATATTTGAGAGGAAATTAATGTGAGCATCGATGTTTTTCTCTATCCTTGCTTTTATTTTATGGTTATTATTGTAATTCTGATTAAATCTGATTCCAAAGGATAAAGCAATTCATCAAAATTTGATTGTCAGAGCTTATTTACAGTGAATTCTCATGAACATAATTTATGTTTATATAAATAGAGAATTCAAATATTAGTTAAAAAAATGACACTGGCTTTATAATAGGACTCAAAGTTTCTGATGGTGAATCATGATCCTAAGAGATGTACACGACATAATACACACAGGCCACCTGGTTTGTGTAAGTCAAGCAGAACCTGTAAGTTGATCAATGTTCTTACATGCAGGATGTTAGCTAAGCCAGGAAGATTAAGTCATTCTTGGAATATCTCTGAGGACCTTTGCTTATCCCAGAGTCACCTTGTTTGTACTCTTGGATATACCATGTATGTAGATGTTTGATGGAAGAGGAATGTATACAAAACTTGCAAATTGAGTATAGGATTAAAAAGAAATGGCATGGCCTAGTAATCTGTGCTTTGGAGAGCATCCCTTCTAACTAAATGTGGGTTAGATTCCAGGATGAACCTATGGACATGCAGTTTATAATGTGTATTTCATGGTTGTTTCTGATGCCTCATGAGCATCTTGGGGTAGGTACTAAATCTTTAATATTTTTGTTGTCAGTCCTCAAGTGCAATATAACATGTAAACAAACCTAGATAATTTCAAAATCCTTATTAATGTAGTAAACCTAATGGAAATGGAAATGATCAATTGAACTCTCTCATACCTGTTTTGAAACACTTTCAAATGTTTTCAGGTAACTTGGAGCTGTGCCTATCAATTTAATATGATACCCAAGTAACATAGAAAGTAGTTTTCTTTGTGTAGATTCTCTTGATTACCCACATTGGGTGAAACATAAAGGGGTTGATGTCTAAAATTTGTCATTTGCTAACTGGTTTGAGTTAGTAGAAAATTGGTACAGTGTTCTTTTGACTTTCCAATGTGTAGCTTGTGACTGTTCAATAAAACTGAACATTGGTGCCACTTTTTGTGTATAGCCTTTATATGTTCCTTTGAGGATATTGTTTTGTTTTGCTTTTCAGTCACATTAGCCAGTAACAATGCACGAAAAGCAAATCTGAAAAAAATAAAGACCTAATCTTTCTAATAGTCTGAATTCTTAAGAGTATTAATTCTTAAGAGTCTGAATTCTGGAAGAAAAGAAATGTAAAACGAGCAAAAAAGGTAACATTAAAATACATCACTGGCTGGCTGGTTCTGATGTACTCTGACCCAATAGGATAGGGTAGTTCTACCCTACTGCCTGTGTTTCCAAGACTGTACATCTTTATGGGAATAGAAAGCTCTGTCTTTCTCCCACAGAGCTGCTGGTTGGTTCAAACCACAGTTCTTGTGGCCAACATCTCAGTGCACTGCCCAAAATACATCCTTAGAAAGGTAAAAAGGTAAATACATCCTTATAAAGGTAAAAATTATTTGAAATACAATAATTCTTGATTCTGAATTATTCTAAATTTCATTATATTCACCTGAATTATTTTCCTTTATTATATTACTACATACATAGCCATCATAATGCAAACTGACAGAAAAATAATTCAAACCATCAGTGACACAAAACTCCAGCGATAATCAAGGTTATAGGTATTGAGGAATAGGAAGATGGCGGACCAGGGGACCCGAATACTCAGAGCTCTTTTGAACAAGGCGGGTTTGGTGTCCAGGTAGCTGAGTGCTAGGAGTTTGGTGAGTGAAATATTCCACCAGGACAGCACCCCACACATTTGTCCTGAGCTGGGGCCTCGGTGATCTAGGACCCGATTCGTGGGACATCTCGGGCCATCAGGCTGCTGCCACTGCAGCCGAGACAGGCTATAGCCCCACTCCATCCCCAGACTGAGACCCCGCGCCCAGAGTCACTTGCCTGCCGTGGTTCCCTTCTCCCCCATGTGGCAGCGATCTACCCTTGGGCCCACGCCCCTTGCTCCATGCATCCAAGGCCGGGGTAACTGACCTGCAATCTACCGTGACTGCCTGGGTGACCCCCACCGTGACTGCCTGGGTGACCCCCACTGGGGACCATCCACCCGCATTGCTGCCTGGGACCTCTCCACTGGCACCCCATTTGCCCGGCCCGGGAAGTGGAGCCACACACTTCCCGCCGGCGGAGGTCCTGCAGCCAGAACCCAACCCGCTTCTATCCCCAACACTGCATTTCCGCTGGAGCCACTGCAGGCTGACCTGCGCCTAGACGCCAGCCGCAGGGCGCCCCTTCCAGCGTTGACAGTGCCGGGCAGAACAGTTGGCGCTCTTGCCTGTTGGGAACGGGAGCGACAGGGCTTTGTGCACATATGGGGCGGCTTTGCCCTCCCCGGTGTGAGCGGCAGGCGGCTCTGAGCTCTGAGCCTGCCATGGTGCATTCCTCCCAGAGCAGAGAGCAGGTGCCATTGCCTGCTGTTTCCCGCCAGAGCCGCTGCTGTCCAATCCGGCTCGGACCATGTCGCTGAGGAGCCTGCATTACTCCCCGCCTGCTAGGGAGCCTAGGATGTGGCATTGCGGTCCCCGCCAGAGCCGTCTATGTGCTGCGGCCGGCTCTCACCGGCGACAGCTTCTAAGCCTGCCCCAGCCCTCTCCAGGGCATAGGAAGCAGGCTCGGCCGCCTGTGCCTCCCTTGCGACCCCTGTAGTGCTACTCCCACCTGGGTAGCCTCTCCCCACAGGCTCAACTCTACAAGCCTGCTGGGACCTGGGAGGGTTTGCTGATCCGAAGAGCATTTTCCCCTCACATAGCCCAGCTCCGGAACCCAGATCAGCACCATGTCCCGTGGCAGCGAGGCCTCGCCCACCTCCGCCTTCTATTAGGCATCACTAGAACTTGGAGGGAAAACAAGGGGGAGAAATTTAAATCTATACATATATATCTTTTATCTTGTGCTGGTTTTTCTCTTTTTCACTTTACTTTGTTTTCTTCCTTTTTCATTATTGCTATTCTCTTCTGCCCCTTTTATGTAGGTTTTCCTTCTATCTCTTCTTTTCTCTTTCCACGTTCACTATTACCACTTTTCTCTCCTCTTTTATCACTTCTCCTTTCCATTTTTTTCCTCCCCCAATTTTTTAAAATTATTTTTTAATTGTTAACTATAAAATTTTTTTCTTTTTTATTACTAAATTTAAAAAAAAGGTTGCTAAGGGTACCTTGATATAACAGGTCAAAGCAGACTGGGGGCACTCACTGAGACTCCAGCCCCCACTCCAGTTGCTGAAAACATCTCACCACTGCGGGTCACTAAGCCTACAGGGAACTCTGCCTACACAGCAGTCTGACCCATCCCTATAGTAGGTCACAGGCAGTCGCCTGAAAGAATCCTTAACAGTAACACAGATCAGGTTACCCTGGCCTCCCAGAAACATGGGGCCTACAAAAGGATCAAGGAAAAATCAACAGACCACATCACTCCCAACAACAACAACAAAAAACAGAGACAATACATAGTAGCAGATCTGAAGTCTCTCATAGAAGAAACAGATACAGATCTGCCACAGAAGGAAATCTTCAGAAGTCTGCCCGCAGTAATACAGGAGCTGAGGGAAGCAACCCAGAATAAGGATGCAATGATAGAGGAGATGAAGTCCACAATAGAGGGGATGATGTCCACCCACCAAAGGGGGCTGCAGGAGCTACCAGAGGAGGTAGCAGAAGCCACACACAAGGTCACAGAATTTACGATTAGGCTTGAGGAGGCAGAGAACCGTATCAGTGATCTAGAGGACACACAAACAGACCTAAGCAAGTGAGAAAGACAGTCAGATAGGAAAATTAAAGAAACAGAAGATAGCCTGAGATCAACGACAGATGCTATGAAGAGAAATAATATTAGAATAATCAGTCTACAGGAGCACAACAGAACACACAAGTCGACAGTAAAGATAGCAATGGAATTTCTGGAAGATAACTTTCCACCCTAACAAGGGATAACTAGGCACTCATACAGGAAGCAGAAAGGACACCAGCTAGACTAGACCCCAAGAAGAGCACTCCAAGACATATAATAGTAAAAATATCCAACTTCGAGGAAAAAAAATTTTACGAGCAGCATGAGAAAGGAAGACAGTCACATACAAAGGAGCACAGGTAAGAATATGCTCAAACCTATCAGCAGATACCATGAAGAGGAGGAGAGAATGGAGCAACATCTTCCAAAGGCTGAAGGAAAAAACACCTCCCCCAGAATCCTGTACCCTGCCAAGTTATCCATTAAGATATATGGTGAGATAAGGGTCTTCCAGGACAAGGAAAGACTCAAAGAATATGCTTCAAGATACCCGAAACTGTGGAAGATACTAGCTGACTCATTATTGCCCAGAGGATCAACCTCCACCAAGAACAAACAGGAGACCACCATATAGCCCATCTCCATCTAGAAGCCAACATGCCAGCAACAATTACCAGGACAACAGGGTCTCAGATGGAAAAGAAGACAAGATAGAAACTCTCCACTCAAACAGCACACTGATATGAAGTGAGATAGGTAAAGACCCCAAACACAAAACGGGGTATGACACCTATGAATCCACACATAGTGATAATAACTCTGAATTCCAATGGACTCAATTCATACATTAAAAGAAAAAGGCTCGAGGACTGGCTTTTAAGTGCACAAACAAGAATATGCTAAGAATTAATGGTTGGCAGAAAGTTTACCAATCAAATTCTAACTCAAAAAAGGTAGGGGTGGCTATCTTAATCTCCAACAAAATGGACCTCAAGATCCAAACCATAAAAAGAGACAAAGAGGGACACTACATAATGCTCAAAGTTCAGTAAACCAAGAAGCACTTAGCATATTGAATATTTATGCTCCTAATAAGGGGGCGGCAAATTTCGTCAAACTATTAAAAAGATGAAAAAAGAAATCACAGACTCAGCAATCATTAGGTGACTTTAACACCCCACTACCAGAGAAAGGCAGATCACTGGGAAAGAAGCTCAGCAAAGAGGCCATAGAGCTAAACAATGTAATTAGGCAACAGGGCCTGATAGACATTTATAGAGCTTTCTATCCAAATGCAAAGGATTTCACATTTTTCTCAAGTCCACATGGATCTTTTTCAAGAATAGACCACATGCTGGGACACAAGTCCAGCCTGAGTAAATCCAAGCACATAGATATTATCCAGACATCTTTCTCAGATAACCATGCCATAAAGCTGGAGATTAATAGGATGTCCAGGAAAGCAAGGGCAACCAATTGGAGGATGAACAACGATCTTCTGTGACATGAATAGGTACAGGCCCAGATTAAAGAGGATATTAGGAAGTTTCTAGAAACTAACAAGAACAAGAATACAATGTATCAAAACTTATGGGACACTGCGAAGGCGGTTATCAGAGGTAGCTTGATATCATTAAATGCATATATGAAAAAAGAAAAGAGGTGTATGACAGATACGTTAACACAAAACCTCCAACAACTAGAACAGTCAGCAGAACAACCCCTCCAATAGCAAGAGAAAAGAAATAATAAAACTCAGGGTAGAGTTAAACCAGTGGGAAGACAGAACAATACAAAAGATAAATACAGCTAAAAGCTGGTTCTATGAAAGAATGAACAAAATTGACAGTCCTCTGGAAAAGCTTACCAAGGATAGAAAGGAGCAAACATAAATAGCCAGGATGAGGGATGAAACAGGCAATAACAACAGACCCCAATGAGATTAAAAGGATAATCACAAAATACTATGAAGGTCTGTATTCTAATAAATTTAGAAACATGGAAGCATGGATAAATATTTGGAAAAACAGTCTCCCTAGATTATCTCAGACAGAGATCAAGAACCTCAACAAACCCATAGTGAAAGAGGAAATAGAGTCATTAAGAACCTACCAACAATAAAAGCCCCAGGGCCAGATGGCTTCACAGCAGAATTCTACCAAGCATTCAGGGAAGAGTTGACACTGATCCTCCACAAAGTATTCCATAACAGAAGAGGATGGCCAACTCCCAAACTCATTTTACAAAGTCA